TTTTATTTTCAAGAAAAAGTATAATTATTCTTCTGACAAAATTGGGCTGGGTGTGGCCCAGTGGTTAGCTTGACCAGATAGTGAATCCGATAATTCATGGTTTCCGACCCATGAATAAGAAATAAGAAAAAAACAATCCTACACGACAAGGTAACTTAAGCATCTATTTTTTCCAGTGGTTTCCAAATTGTGGGGTAGCAAGAAGACGATTACAATTACACCTACTTTTGTTCGAGATTCAAAGGCATTGAAAATCGGCCTGTGAATGTATTGATTGCTACGTTGTTTTGGGTTCTGTGTGTGACCGGGTTAATTTTTATGACTCAAAATGGGGTCACAGAGGGAAAAAGGTTTGGGAATCGTTGCTTTATGTGCAGCTTTTTTTAAAAAAACAAAATAAGTTAGAACAACTGTAAATGCTTCGAGACAGTATACTTTGAGAATGAAAACTCTGAAAATTATGTTTGAACGTTTTTAATCTATTTTATTAACTTCGGTCAAAGCAACGCAGTCGGAGTACTAAGATTAAATATATCAAATTGTTATCGTTTTTGTAATAAAGTTTACGTAAATGAAACCCAAAGATATAAAAATGCATTAACTCTACTTCATTTACTTCTGGTGAAATATATATATATATATGTATTTCACTATATATTTGTTTGTTTCAGAACATTCGTGCAAACCTACACAAAAGGCTATCTGCTTATAGATGTCCCTAATTTTAAATATACTTGATGAGTGTGTTTTCATATAGCAAAGTCACATCGAGAAACGAACCCCTGAGTTTTAGCGTTGTAAATCCGAAGACTTACCTCTGTCCCACCGGAACTACTAAATGGAAGGCAGCTAGTCAACAGCACCTACTGTCAAATCTAGGGGGGTCCTCTTGTCTGATCGAATAGATTTCATTGAGATAATTAGTTATCTTTGGCATAGCTAGGTCAGATGTAATGGAATAAAAAGAAGAGCATTTTCTATCTAGGATTTAAAATATGTTATTTTGACCACTGGGCAAAGATCAAGACCAGAAATATAATGGAGCTGTTTCATGGAGTGTAAACATTTTTATTAATATATTTCCATGTCTTTTGTATTGTACAAATTAATAAAATTAACCACGTGGATTTGTCATGATTTTTGTTTGCCTTACCCGATCTAAAACTTTTACTTGCAATCGATGGGACAAGTGAAGAAAACCTATTTTTCCCAAGCTTACTGAACTTACAAGTATAAAGTAACACCATAAGAGCGTATGTATGTTTTAGCACAAAGCTTCAGAATGTGCTATCTGCGCGCTTCCACCGCTGAGAATCGAACCTCGGATCTTAGCGTTGTAAGTTCATAAAATTTCCGCTGACTCACCGGGGGATACCTAGTCAGGAAGAATACTGCTTCTTTTATTTAAACAAAATTTTACACATATATCTTTTATCTTTAAGTACTATATCAAAATTATGTAAACAACACTAACTTTAGAAACCTTAAGAGTAAAATGTATACCAAGTTTTGAAGTCTTGTATATTTTGTAGATGAGTAATCACTTTTTTTAAAGCTAGGGTAATCCACCCTTACAATTCCTATTATCTTTTACAGTATTTATATTTAATTTGCGATTCTGGTAATAGATGTTAAGAGGTTTTTGTTTGTTTATTACTGAGTACAAAGCTACACAATGAGATATCTGTGATCTGCTCAACGTGGGTATCGACACCCGATTTTCAGTATTATATGCCCTTAGAGTTATCGTTGAGTCATCGAGGGGCTGTTAACAGGTGATATATGTACTACAAAATTTGCTTTGACTTGAAAAGTTTTTTGTTGTGTTTTGTGCAAAGCTATACAAAGTTTGTTTGTTGGATTTGGGGCAAAGCTATACAAGGCTTGTTTATTTTAACACAAAGCCACATTGGGGTATCTGCTGTATCCGCCATGGGGAATCAAACTCCGGATTTTAGCGTTATAGCTATACAAAAGGGCTATCTGAAATAGCCGTCCCTAATCTTTAACTGATAGACTAGAGGGAAGGCAGCTAGTTAACAGCGCCCATTGGCAGATCATGGGCTACTTTTGTTTGACTGTCACACTTGTAGGACACCCATGGCTCCAAAATTTGGAACACGCTTTTGCGGCAATGGGTCGGAAACCATGAATTATCGGATTCACTATCTGGTCAAGCTAACCACTGGGCCACACCCAGCCCAATTTTGTCATAAGAATAATTATACTTTTTCTTGAAAATAAAAAAAAATATGGTGCTCAGAAGTTAAACTGTTAAATGAAATGACGAAATGTAAATTTACATTAATTATCAAAAACATTCACCTCGTTATTATTCACAAATAAATTTAGATTTGAATTATTTTTGAACTGTCGGTTTAACGAAAACATATATCCATCTAAGAATCAAAAAGCCTTAAATGATGAGCTACATAACTGAATGGTTCAAGTTCTACCAACCTCTTTTTCAAACTGAACTGCTTGTTCAACCTCTCTTGGATATCCATCCACTAAAAAGCCTTTCGAACTCTTTAGATGGCGCTGTATGGCTTCTTTCAGTAGTTGTAATACTTCATCCTGGGTATATACATAAAACAAATCTAGCAATGCAGTGGTAAATAGGTCAACTAAATTATAAACGTAGCATGACAAACATGAATCGACCACGAGTAAATATCACTGGTAGTGTTACTAGAGAGAGAAAAAAAAAAAGATCAATTTACTTTCGTTTTATTGAAAGTTTCTTCCGCATTTTCCAGTAAAACATTTCCAATCAATTTCTTGATGTTTATCCCTAATTCTTTTACAGAAAATTCTCAAAATAAATATTAACGGTAAATATAAAATACATATTTTTCTAATTATCATTCTTCAAAACATAAGAAACAACAACAAGTCTTTCATGAAAGAGGCTAAGGAACTGCTCGCAAACTGCAAAATCATCCTGTACAGGCGTGTGTGTGAGGCTAATTAACTTACACAAATTGTAACGTTAGCTAAAGCTGTATATGACAGTTCGATTTCTTACGTGTTCCAGTCTGGTGGCAATCTTCTATATTATAATTGAATAATCTTACTTAAAACATAATACATTCAAAAAAGTCGTCTTTTAAAGAAATTTTACACATTAATATTATGTTTTCTGAAATTATTAATAACTCCCATAAAAATAACTTTAAAAACTACCGATACTTTGATCAAATAGTACCTGAAGAGTATTATAAATACAAGTTTTCAGCCTGTAAAGTAAATATTCACTGACCTATTTGACATTCATATGATTTTATTTAATGTTCCCCTATGGTACGGGGCCGCTACATGTTTTCCATCCCTTTAGTTAGAAAGTAAAATGTTTAAAATCAGCAAGCCAAACCTATGGGGCATAAATCTACCAAAAGGAGTTGTTTGACAGTCGGTGAGACGATGTGCACTTGTGCAAGACACTGATGATCAGCGGGGCACACAGAAGCTTATCCGAAAAAGGGAGGTGCCCAGTCCTGATAAGTCAGATACAAGGTGTTGTTGGTAAATAAGAGCCGCCGGAATAAGTCACCTTACAAAGTGATGAGATGGTATGATCTTACTGAACTCTAGTATGACCAGGTAGGAAGCGCAGACCCTCTTCAAGAAGAGAGGAGACTGGTCACGAATTCACGAGATGAAGGTGTATGGTTATTGGTTGGTGAAATCCATCAATGAGTTCTGGCCAATAAGTAGATCAGTGGACCAGACAAAAACCTCTCGAAGAAAAGAGTTACCAACTGCTCCACAAGCAAGAGGGAAAGAACCCCTGGTGGATAAAGTGTACATACGTGATCTGCAATACTGTCAGGTGACACAGCAAGTGCTTCCTCCCTGTAAGTGGGAAGGGTGAAGTCAGAAAGAAGAGGCAAGCTACAAATGCAATTAATAGTCATAGGTTGAGCAGGGCCCTAATGAACTCAAAACTCTGGGGTCCTAGTTGCTCCTAGACCACATAGTTTTGATGGAATCCCTTTTATTGTCAGCAATATCTGTAAGAAACCATGGGAAAACATGTGAAAGATCTGTGCCAAGACCACGTCCCATATGGTTGACACTACGCAGATCTTCCCTATAATATTCAAGGGAGGAATGAAGTAAGATCTGGATCATTTCCTTTGCAGGTTCTGGCAATTCGATACCTGTTACTTTGTCTGGATTGTCCAGCATCTATCTACTGGAAGAGCAGTTGGACAGTGGAGACTTAGTCGTGGCGCTGATATTCACCAATGGTCTAACCTGGTGGAAAATTGAGCCATCCTCCAAGCTGAACTTAAGGCTCATAGATGAGGTCACACAAAGAATTTAGATGTCCTTGCAATGGCAGCTGTGTAAAGAAGACACCCTTGGTGATAAATTCATTGAGAGACATCCAAATGAAGCAATGAGGCATCGCTTGGGTGTGTAAAACATCTGCAACTTAATGAAAGTAGTGTCAGGAGCAATAAGGTTCGAGGTGATTACTTCAGACAAAATATTGATGGAAATGAGGAACCCGACGGCAGCAGTTTTCATGGCTCTTCCAAGTATGAGTCATCCAATCCAAAGTTGTGTCCCTCATAGACCTGAAACTCTGCAAAAAAATGGAGACAATGAGCACTACAAGGTACTGCAACACAAACTGGCTGCTATCTAGCCACTGGGCAGGGCTATCTAGACCCACCTGTGACGTTTGCACACCACAACAGGGACAGCCAGTGCCTCTTCCTGATTATTACTTCAAGTGTGGGGACCCAATCATTTACTACAGTTGTAGGCTGCAGAAACACATTTGTACAATGTGCACATATCTTGTCTGGCAGCAAGATATAAAGATACCTCTGTCAAGACTGACTGTATGTGAAGTGCAGGAGGGCTGGAAGTGAGAAACTAATAGAGTTCGAGTCAGGCCTGGCCACTGACACAGGAGTGCATAAAAGTATATTTGTGTCAAAGAATGTGGTGGTCATCCCAGCTCTGTCTAGGCTGAGCAGTGTTTGGTGTGTGCCTGCATGTATGCACAGTAAGGTAATGGAGTTCCTGGTGGACAAAGGAAATTCAAGAACCCTGGTGGCTTATTATCTAAGCATTTGAACTATAAAAGGCGTCCATTGAATGCACATAATCTCTAGCCCGTCCTTAAATCTTGAAAAACATCAAACATATGTAAACTTAAGTTTAGTTGTAAATAAGTTCTAATTCTTCAACCATTTTTTAAATAGTACTCAAATATATATATATATATATACACACTCTGAATATAT